GGTTCACCACCAAGACCGTTGCAGACAAACAGTGCTGGACAATATGTTTTGGATGTGTTGGGTCAAGACGAGGCCTTGCTATGTGAACAGCCCTCAGCTTCAGATGGTTCAGATCAAGAGGACGAGATTGAGAGTGAGAAGACAGAGACTGACCCGGCTGAGTTGAATGTTGGCACGGAGAGGGAATACACCCGCAGAGAGCATCGCTGTCTTTTGGCCAACCATGAAGCTTGGCAGAAAGGACGCAGTCAGTGCGTCGTTGCCAAGCTGTTCTCTCCACCTCGCTTCAGTGAAGTGCTTCGGGAGCGAAAGGAAGAGGGCTTGGCTTTTGACATTCAGCAGGGTTGGGATCTGACAGATTCAGCGACACAGAAGAAGGTGAGTCGCTTGCTGGCTGAGAAACGACCCGAACTACTGGTGTGTTGTCCCGAGTGCAAACATTGGGGCGGTTGGTACAGGTTGAATAGGACCAAGCTGCCGTTGGCACAACAGCTGCTGAATCAGCGTCGAGCACGGGCACAGGCAGATTTTTGTGCTGAACAGAATCGCCTTCAGTTGAAGAGAGGCGGACGAGTGCTCATGGAACACCCGTGGAGCAGTGACATCTGGAATCATCCCCCGATCCGCAAGCTTCTGAACAGTGGAGCCCTGCAGTTGAACAAAGCACACATGTGCGCTTATGGTCTTCAAGATGGTGACACGCAGAAACCCATGTTGAAGCCGACCGGATTAGCAGTGTCACACTCTGACATGACAGAGCTCGCCTTGCAATGCCCAGGACATTTGGAGCATCAGTCGATCGAGGGTCATTTGTCAAGTGGACAGAACCGTAGCGCACTAGCAGCTAAGTACACTAGGCAGTTTGTCCTCACGTGGCTGTCATGTGTTCGTCCGGAGGTGCAATTGTGTGATTTTGTCTGTGTGCAGGACAGTCCCAACACTCAGAGTGAGGGTAAGCCGAATGCATGGCCTTTGGTCCACGAGGTGTGTGCTGCGACAGAGGTTCAAGAGGTTGAGACAAGTCTAAGGAAACTTCACAAGAACCTAGGACACCCATCAAACCGGACTTTGATTCGCATCCTGAAGAATGCAGGAGCCTCAGAGCAAGCCCTCAAAGCAGCAGAACTAGTGGAACAGAGGTGTGACATCTGTCAGCAGCGTAAGAGACCCACACCGTGTCTCCCTACTAGCCCTGAGAAGTTTCAAGATTTTAATCATCGAGTTGGCTGGGACGTGAAACTCATGCCAGGCTGGCAGGTCAATCAGCAGGTCAAGTGCATGAACATTGTTGATTATGCTACCAGTTTCCAGGTGATGATTCCCTTCTATGAGAAAGAAACTTCCTCGGTTCTCAAGAAACTGTTTTTGGAACATTGGCATAGGTGGGCAGGACCTCCAGTCGAAGTGATCGTGGACCCGGCCAAGACAAACACAGCCGAAGCAGTGTTTCAACAGTTGGAGCATGAGGGTACTCGCATAATCACCAGTGCAGCAGAGGCGCACAATCAATTGGGGAAGGTAGAGAAGCATGGTCATTTGTTCGAGGTCATCCTTCAGAAAGTGCTAGACCAGGTTCAGCCTAGAAACAAAGAGGAATATGAACAATGCCTGGTGCAGACAAGCAGTGCCAAGAATGAGCTGCTCAATCAGAAGGGACTTTCGCCCTGCCAGTTGGTGTTTGGGAGAAATCCTCGTGTTCCTGCCGATCTTTTGCAAGAATGGCCGTGTCCAATAGCAGCGACCACACCATTGCATGATGAATCGGCCGAGCGATCACGAGCCATTCGTTCACAGGCACGCACGGCATTGATCATGTCTCAAGACGACACCAGTCTTCGAACTGCCCTGAACGCTAGACCACGTGCAGAGCGAGAATTCTTGCCAGGTGACTATGTTTCCTACTGGAGGACCCAAAAGTATGAAAAAGGCATTAGGCTCGTAGGAGGCAGATGGTATGGAGTGGCAATAGTGATGGGTAGGATAGGCAGAAACTTCCTCATTTACCACAGAAAGAACATGTTCAAGGTTGCACCAGAACATCTCCGTCATGCCACTCAAGAAGAACGTGTTCTAGCACAGTCAGATGGAAGAGAAATGTTAGGTCTCTCAAGCCTGATGAATGAAGCGAGTTGCAAGCAGCTCGGGACGCAGTTCGTAGACCTGACGGGCACGCCGACTCCAGAACAGAGCAGGCGACCACCGGAATCTGTCGAGGACTTTTGGTTGCAGAAAGGGGATCTGTTGATTCGTGTCCATCGTCACGAACGCACACATTGTTTTTGGCCTTCCAGTGATGACCCTTGTTTGCAGGGAATGTCTTTAGAAAACTGGCGCAAAACAATTCGTTCAGACACCAAAGAATGTGTGACTCATCAGCCATTGTCAGATCCAAGCAGCCAAGAAGCAAAATGTTGGGATACGGTCTGGAAGGGAGAAAGCCAGTTCAAGATTCGCCCCAAACGATCAAACGAGACAAAACCAGTCCTCAAAGACAGTTCATTGGTGATCGCGGGTTCCACTGGCACGGAGGCCCAACCAGAGGCCGCAACCGGAGCAGAAGTCTCTCCTCCGGCCGTAAGTTCAGTGAAGCCAGAGCCATATGCTAGCCCATCCGAACCGTCCGGCAACCGTGAACCAGACGTGGGCTATGGTCCAGTTCGTGTGAGACAGCACCAGAAGAGTCCACCTACCTTTTGGCTTCGTCCCCCGGAAACAAAGATTGATGATTTGCAAGACATGCTGGAAGAAAACCATGGTACGAAACGCAGCCATTCTCCCAGTGAAGCAGACAGGAACACGAAGAGCCAGAGGGTGGAAGAAGATCCTTCAGACAGCTGTTTGTTCGCAGGACTGGTGAAGGAGCATGGACCAGCCGAGTCATTCGAAATCTTAGTGGCAAGTTTTCTGCAAAAGAAGACGCAGAAAGAATTGCATCATTCGAACAACACAGCCGAATTACAAGAACAGATTGATTTGTCCAAGACAGTCGAGTGGACCACGCTCCGAGATGAGAAGAAGGCCTTGAAAGTCATTCCACCTGCCGAAGCTCAGAGGATCCGAACTCATCGACCCCATCGGATCATGACTAGCCGGTTTGTGATTGTAGAGAAACACGAAGATGGAAACAGCAAGATCAAATCACGTTGGTGTTTGAGGGGGCACCACGACCCAGATTTGTTTCAGAAAGTTCTAGCCGGCAAATGTCACTCCCCCACGCTGTCCCAATTTGGTAGGAGCATCATTTTACAAATCATTGTGAGCCACCGATGGAGGATGTGTCTCGGGGATATAAAAGGGGCATTTTTAGAGGCAGATGTGAGACAGAAGGCGCTCGAGAATCCAGTTTTTGCTGAACTTCCCCCTGGGGGAGTACCAGGAGTAGAGCCAGGGTCCCTAGTTCAGGTGTTGGGAAACATCTACGGGGCAAACGACGCTCCACACGAGTGGTACTGTGAGTTCGACAAACAGGCTTTGACAGCCGGATTCGTTAAGAGCAAATTCGATAGTTGCCTGTATTTGTGTTTCGGAGACGACGGTAGGCTCGAGGGCATTTTGGGAGCACATGTGGATGACACCATCACCGGAGGACATGGCCCCAAATACGATCGTGCCATTGAACAGTTGAAGAAACGTTTTCCGTTTAGGAAGTGGAGGTCAGGCACTGGAGAGTTCCTAGGCACAATATACACACAGGATGCAGACATCTTCGAGATCACATACCAACAAAAGGAGTACGCAGAACATATACAACCGATCAGAATTTCGAAAGATAGAGCAAAGAAACACTGGCTTGAAGCAAATGCCCAAGAGATTGCCGCATTGAGAGCAGTCAATGGTGCTTTGAGTTGGCTGAGCACTCAGTCGAGACCTGACCTGGCGGTTCAAACCTCGATGAGCCAGCAGTGTTTTCCTCGGCCAACGATTTCTGATCTTCTCCAAGCCAATCAGGCGGTGAGACGGGGGGCGACAGCAATCGGACCTGACCATTCGAGTTCCATACATTCCGTTGACGGAGCTGACAACATGTTTTTGGTCAGATGCTGCTTTTGCAAATTCCTCAGAGTTGAAGACACAAGGAGGATGGATTGTTGCCTTCACCTCGAACAAGATGCGTCAGGGCGCTGATGTGCCAATCCATTGTTTCTCCTGGAAGTCATATCGTCTTCCAAGAGTGGTTTCATCTACCATGGGAGGTGAAAGCCAGTCGTTCTCGACCGCAGCCGGAGTGTGTGAGTGGGTCATGTTGATGCTAGCAGAGTGTCTAGACGGACCATTCCTTTTAGAACATGCCGATGAAGTTCTCCGTAGGAGGTCACCTCTAGGAGTCACCGATTGTAGATCTCTTTACGACCATTTGACATCATTAGGGAGTGGCAGTGTGTTGAGTGACAAGCGAACAGCCATAGATATAGCCATCATCAAGCAGTCCATTCAGAGAACTGGACTGGAGCCTCGTTGGTGTCCAACAGGACATATGGTAGCTGATGCCCTAACCAAGGATAAAGCAGAACCAATGGACTTGCTCAGATCCTGCCTCAGGAATGCCAGATACCAGCTGGCAGATGAGCAGGTGGTTCTCGATCGGAAAAAGGCAGAGAAGGAACGTCGCAAGAGAGTTGCACAGTCACGAGCAGCCAGAGCCACCAATCCGAATGAATCTGTTGAGGGTTGATTCACGGACGCCAGAAAAATTCGTAGCCCATGCAAGTTTTGTTTTAAGCAATCAGCGCTTCGCCTTTTTATGTGTAGAGTCGGTGGCAGCCTCGTCGCTCGTTCGTTCGTGCAGTGAATGGGTCAGTGCATAACTAAGAGAGCATTTCACCACTTCCGACTTGAGTTGAAAATCAACGCACATGAATGTTAATGTAATCATTTTTGCCTTCTGAGTTTTCGTCATGAAGACATGTGAGACGCACAGTTCGAAACTTTGTTTGCATTTGCAGCACACTTCAAGCAACCTCAAGCGTGCAAAGATTGTTCAGCAAGACCTTTGAAAGACCATGGCACCTAAGGCAGCCCCCAAGACAGTTCCAGTGACCGAGGCTGAGTTGACAGCAGCTCGACAGATTTTGCTGCGGGCTCAAAGTGCCGGAGTCCAGAAGTCAGAAGAGAGCTCAGCTGGTTATGGATCGATGTCCGATGCGAGCAAGCGCCAGCGCGGGCCAGAAGACTGGGAGCTGGAAGAATGGGAGGCAATCGCCTATCAGGAGCAGCAGAAAGCCCTACATGATGAGCGATTGCAGGCAGATGGTGCTTCGAGTCAGATGCCGGTCTTGCCGGCAGGTCCAGGTATCCTCCCGGCATCTCCAGCCTGGAGGATTGGGGCACGACGATCTGTCGTCTTCCCAAGGTATCGAAGATGGATGTTTCGTATGATGAGATGACAAAGGATTCAAGCCTTGAGAAGTACCTAGTGTGGGTCGAGCAGCACGGGACTGGCAAGGGCGGTCGCTTCGAAGACCTATGTGCCTACCTGAAAGCAATCGACTACACGGCAAGCAAAAAGCTTGGTTCCAGTTCAAAGTGCACGTACCCAGGAGGTACTGAGATCCGTGAAAAGAAGAAGTGAACAGAGGTTCACTAGTGTGCTTGAGTCGTGTTTGCACCCAGATGCTGTCTAAGGTTGGAAGACCGGATGTCTTCCCATGCTTTCGATGAACAAGTTGATCAACTTAAATTTATAGATAAATAGGAATGTTAAAGCAGTGTCAGTGCAAGCCGATCGCAGCAAGCAGTTTCGTATGTACCGAAGGCACCTCGCTTGCTCAGGCGGAAGCAAAAGGTTATGAGCGGCCGACGGGAAGGGTTAGGAAACCTGTTGTCGGGTCTAGGGACCCGTGTTTCGATATATATATATATACGTATAGCAGGGCAAACTCCTGGTGCTCATGTGTCGTTGGAACCTCTACTATAGAAAATATCAAGCTTGCAAATACACGATCAGAAGAGGCCAGGCGCCAAACTGGACCAACAAATTGTGGCACTCTTCTGTCCTTGAAACACCCTTTTAGGTTGACACTGGCTGGAGAAAAATGCTTGACTTGTTGATTTGTAGCTGTGTTTGTTTTTTGATTATAAACAATGAAGTCATCAAACACATGCAATAGAGTTCTTTGGTGTACAACAGTCCTTTGCCTTGCACTTACATCCCAATCTAGCTTCTTCTCGTCCTGCCTCCCGTGGCGGATATGAGGGTGTGCCTGGCATGCCATAGATTCATCTCCGAGTCTCTCTCGCTCTCTCTTTCTCTTTGTTTGTTTTCATTACTTTCCTTTTTTGTAATCTTTATTTCTTTCTTTTGTTTCTTTCTTTCTGTCGTTCTGTTTGTTTGTCTGTCTGTCTGTCTGTATTTGTTTTCTTTTGTTCAGTTCTTCTTTCGTTGTTTTTTTAAATGTCTTTGTTTCATTCTTTACTGTATCTCTTGTTTTTTCTCCGACCTATCCTTCTTTCTTTCTAACTAAACTTTTTTAAGTTTGATCAGCTGGGAGGCTCAGGAGGAAAGGCCTACCGCAAACTGCATAGGCAAACATGAATAGCATGCGCGGATTTTTTTCTAGAGGGTCTTGTTCCGTCAGTCTCTCATAATAGTATGTGGGGAACATGTTTTTGCGTGTGCTTCAGCACCAGGACAACCTCACGCACTCCGCGGTCTTCACTTCCTTTGCACCTCGGCTTGCTTTTGGCTCTCGAGAGTACGTGTGCCGCGTGCAACGTTAGCTTTGTGAATCCCAACATCGACAGGAAAAAACATGGCAAGACAGTACCTTTGAATCGCACCAGTTGATTGTTGGAATCGCACCTTTGAAGTGTTTTTTAAATGATGACTGGTTGCAGCTCCCTTTGGTGGGCTGTAAGTTCTCAATGAGAATCACCACACCACTGTGATTCAGTGAGACCTGCAAATCGATCACCTATCTACTTCCCTCCCTAGGCAACCTGGCAAACCAGCCTGGCAAGAGTAAACGAATCACTGAATCATACTGAATCCAAGATCTCTCTGCAGAGGTTGGTACGGCGGGCTACTTGAGCCCAGAGATGGTGGCTCGACAGGCCATGACCGGTGGAGCGATGTCGTGCGGGTTCCTCGTGTTGGTCCGTGGAGTCGACGACGGGCCCCAAAGGTCTTCATGGACTTCATGGGTCATCCCACACCTACGACGCGTCCTTGCTACGTTCGTAGCTTCTTGTTACTAGCTTCTGGCCTCCAACCTAATAGCGATGGCCTCCGCCGAGCATAGAGTCCTAGCTACATCCTTCAAGGGTGCAGGGTCTTCAATGGTTGAAGGCTCATGGCCGAAAAAGATCGCGTCCAAAGCAGCACATCCCCTGCCGTGTGATTGGACCAAGAGTGATCAAGCCAAGACTTTTGGAACATGTCCGGATGAATTTGTGTTTGGAAAACGGAGGTTCAATGAGGTCCAGCAAAATTCCCGTGGATTCGCATGGCTCATGGGCTTGAGAGATAGATCCGGCAGCCACTGACACTGGATGAAGTGGCATGGGCCTTTGAACGTCTCAAATCTCTTTGATTTTTTTCTCCCCCTGGACTAGAGATATTGAAGGTGCAGAATTCATGGAGGGTTTTTGTGATGTAATCAACCGTAACACCAAAATGTCGGCACCGGCAGGGCCATGGGCTGCCACTGGACTACTACTGCTTGGGCTGCGGTGAACTGAGCACGACGTCAGCCGACGGGCCGTTCCGACAAGCCGGATCACCCAAATGAGTTTATAAACAAATTGGTTGGATTTTGGCATGCATATATAATCATGTATATACATAATCTATATGTACTTTTGGAATTTATATATATATATATAAGTATGAACTATATATATATATGCCTTTACTAAGTTATTTATACAACACATAACTATTTAGATCTTAGTTTGGATCTTTGCATAAGAACTAATTGTACACATAGCATATATTATGACGGTGTGACTATGTGTTTGATGATCGTGCTTCGGCAAATTACGAAGGAGTAGTAGCAAGGAATATGATATATGGGCGGTGCGAGGATAGACACGCCAGCAAATCTTGCTATGACAGATGATGATGCTGCTGCTGATGATGATGATGATGACGGTGATGATTCATCATCATCATCATCATCATCATCATGGTGATGGTTGGCAGATCAACTTGTTGCAAGGATTCACGTCCTTCTGTTAAACATGTTCATTGAAGTTTGACATGGAGGTGCTCTCTAAACCCACAGGCTTGCCACTGATAAGCCCAGGCCTCTTGTACTGCTTGTTGACTGGGTCCTTGCCCCACTATGAGGGCGACTACAAGGTGTGGTGTTTCAACCGGGTGTCGACTGGTCCATGGAGGTTGGAGACCGGTCCATGGCCGCTGAGATTCCACTTGGTTCAAGCAATGGTATCATATTGAAAGTTCCATTGATTCCATTGAATTGGGAGGATATTACGATATTGCAATAGTTCTATTGGTGGAACAGAGGTGTCTTCAACCAACAAGGCCTTTCTGAAGAGATGAAGTCGATTCACTAGTAGGAACCACAGCAGGAAGAGTGGCGCACTTCCTTTGGAACACAAGTCTTGATCAAACTTGGCTGCTTAATGCCAAATTGCCATACAAATTGTGCCACTCACATACAGGAACACACTTTGAACCAGATGAGCATTGTGATTACAGCCATGAACTGAGAAATCTGAATCAACCTACTCACCTTCCTTCACCTCAGACCAAAAGACACGACACAACACCATAACGACTCGGACTCGATTGACTCGATTGATCCGACGGCAGGTCATGATCCAGAAGCGGGTCAAAGGGGAACCCGTCCAGTTCCCGCCCGGAAGCGCAGCCGGTTCCCTCCCTCCGACCCGGTGGACACCGGGTCGGCGGCGGTGTCCGACCGGAAGGAGACCGGCGGTCGTTTTGGGTGATTTTCTTTTGAACAGCAGTTTATAGCAGTTGGTTTGTTCATTCTTCTTTTTCTTTCCAGTGTTGACTTGGGGGGGGTCGTGTTTCGGCTTTTGGGTTCTCGGGTCCTGTAGTTTTTGGGGGTTTTGCTTTGAGAACGACGAACGGGGCTTCGGACGCCCGGCTAGAAGAACTGGAACACGGGGGCGAAAGAAAAATTCCCGTGTAATGGCGTGTATCTATCTCACCAACCAATGGAATTTGGAGGGGTTGTTTGTCAAAATTTGGCCTTTGTTCCCACCTCCAGAGAGGGAGGTCTCCAGAATTTCATGCACATCCAAAAAAAACATATATATATATATATTATATATGATGTGCTGGGGAAGGTGACACACCAATCTCGGGATCGATGTGTCGACCAGACAATTTGCTGGTTGAAATTGACATCACTAAAATAAAGCGTTGGGGATAGATCTTCACTTCTGCTGACCTGCTCTCACCCTGCTCCTGCAGCCTCTTGCAAGGTCTTTTGTCAAAAGCAACCCCCCTTGACCTGAGGCCATGGGTCTCTTCGGATGCGCAGAAGATCCTCTCGGGTCTCGGGTCTAAATCTCCCGGTCCTGCGGAGCGAGCGCCCTCGCGCGCCCGTTGCGTCGTCTCAAGGCCGGTCGACCGGTTTGCGTGTTCCGGTGTTCACGCGGCAGTGAATGCGAGTCTGCCGCGGGCGGTTTATCGGTCGGTGTAGGGAGGATTTGGTGAGCGAAGGAAGAGGAAGGCGCAGGATTTTTCATCGGTCGCCGCATGGGGTGTCCAAGCATCCAAATCGGAGTGAAAAAGCTGCAAGCATTTCGACCCCGCCTCCATTGCGGGCGCGACTTGCGCATTTCTATTGGAGGGTTGGGAGTTGTTGAAATGCTTTAGTTTGTAACCGGCCATGATAATTCATAGGCAAGAGCTTTGTCAAATAGTAGTTGTTACCCTCCATTCCATGAAAGCATTGGTATGGAAGAATGGTTTTGAGCTGCTTTGGTACATAAGTAGCAGCTGGAGTGGCTTCGTGGGACCGTTGTCCTTTGCAGCACCGGACAACGTCACCAACACAAGTCCAGTGGATCAAGTCAATAGGCAACGCAATCCACATGAGTTTCATCCCGAAAGACCCAATTTCAGCGGTCGACGGACCTGGCCATCTTCTGAGGCCTGCTACAACCGGATCCAGCTCCTTTGGCCTGTTGGGAACAGTCTGTATATTCTTTAGATCCTGCAACATGGACGGTTTCTCAAACAACATGTCTTCCCCAAAGGCACCAACTGACTTGACTGATTGACGTCACTTCAGGAACATCAGTGGACAGAGGATCACCTACAACCAGCCTTGCAAGGCTTTGGACAGAGGAGCACCTACAACCAGCACCTTTGATTGCCTGGCCCTTCTTTCTCGGACTCCTCCCCCTGCCCTGCACACCGACACTGGGGTTTTTCTACACGGCGGCGGTGACGCACGGACACCACTGGTGCTACACATCAACGCAGCCATCAGGGCTCAGAAGTGCAGCCCGTGGTGTGCTTGAGCAACTGGAAATCATTTGAAGTGAGAAGGCTATGGAGGATTGCCAATAGATCTAATATGATCTAGACAAGTTTGAGAGTTCTTCTCAATCTTGGGGAAGAACTGGGAAGCGATGTGAACGTGTGTCACAAGGTAAGTGCAACGAATTCCTCAGGAACATCAGGATGTTGGCAGACCTGACCAGTCCCCAACTAGCCTTCACATGCCCTGCTTTTGCATTGCGCTGTGACGCGTCGCGCATGCGACGACCTCGCCCGCGAGCTCCGCATGTGGGCACCCTTCTTCGTCGAGAGCTCAGGTCTGCGGCCTTGGCGCCAGAGCTTGTGGACAGAAACAACATGCAAAACTTACGACGCGCAAGGAATTCGATTCTTATGAGTGGACCACATGGGTGGATTTGGATGACACCCAACTTCGGAGTCCATACTACTGTCCAGGTAGATGGAAAAAACACAAAAAAAACCTACTTTGGTGATCGGGATCATGTTGGTCGACCTGGGGTTCAAAAGGAAACAGACCACGATAGAATCGGTGAACATGGCTGCTTTGTGCCTGGTCGCTTCAATTCCTTCTTGACATATAGATGGATCGGGAGTTGAGCTACGAACCACTGCATATACAGATTGACATGAGAAATCGACCGGATTTGACGCCCCACAGTCATGATCCACTGATCCGGTTTTGGGGGTGTTTGCTTGTGACACCCAAGGGTCAGGCATTGCGTTTGAATATGGATCCATTGGATCATCATCCTCAAGCCATTGAACACAGTTCTCAGGATCTGCCGAAGGACCTGGGCTGCGAATGCACGGGCTGGGGTTGCCCAGATTCCTGTGGTTCTGTGGACGAACCTGACAACAATCACTTGCTGCTTTGAACATCTTTGAACCATTTTGAACCAGGCATGTTCGGCGGTTCCCCAATTCTTGAGCACTTTGCGCGGTCACTGGCATGGCAGGTGATTGAAACAGCAGCAGGTGATTGAAACAGCAGCAATCTTCAAGGTATCGTGCACCCCACTGACAAAGACTATCCTATATGCCAGCTTTTGTTCACACATTGCCAGGCGGTTGAGCATGGGTCGATACATCAATGTTTCTTTGAGGATAAGCCAAACCTAGGCAAACATTATCTATCTCCGAGAAACGTATCTTCTTTTTTTCAAGCGGGTCATCCCGAGTCACTGGACCATCGGAGGTCAAAGCACCTCAACCAGAACGGACGTTTTTGGAAGCTCTTAGGATGGAGGCCATCGCTCTTAGGATGGAGGCCCTCGCTATTAGGTTGGCGGCCATCGCTCTTAGATGCTCTTAGGATGGAGGCCATCGCTGTTAGGTTGGAGGCCATCGCTCT